AAGTGATTGAGAGAATAAATGATAATGCCTACAAGCTTGACCTTCCAAGTGAGTATAATGTTAGTGCAACCTTTAATGTTTCTGATTTATCTCCTTATGATGTAGGTGCAGATTTGAGGACAAATTCTTCTGAAGAGTGATGGAATGATATGAACAAGGTGGCAACACCCAATGATCCATTACAATTACCAAATGGGCCAATCACAAGGTCAAGGGCCAAGAAGTTTAAAGAAGCTCTTAGTGGGCTGATTCAAGAAATGTGGGCTAATCATGAAGACATCAAATCCAAATTAAATCATACTATGAATGTGGACCAATTAGCGTTCAGACCAGAAGAGGTGATGAGTAATTCATTATATGAATGTTCAGTCTTGATTTGGACAGATGAACCAAGTGCGCCATAAGTCTAAAGCTTTTGAAAATTCCAAGAGGTTTAGTCTGAGGCAGAAAAGCATGTAGTTGTTCAAATCAAAAACACTTTGGTCTGACTAAAGTGTTGGCTACCTGCCTGGTAAGTTCAGGTCTTACCTGATTTAAGAGGGGATAGTTTTCGTAACTGTCAACTCTAAGAACGCGTTAGTTGAATGAAGTTGCAGTATGCGAAAATCAAACATTTCTAGACTTGGTGAAGATCATGTTCAGTTATTCATCTTTGTCAATGTTGTTCAAGGGAGATGCCTAAGAGAAGGAAACGTACCTTCTTAACTTGATTCCGTCAAAGTTTGTTATAAAGACACCTAAAGAATTATGGAAAGGGTGCAAGCCCAGATCAAACCATATTCGGATTTAGGGTGCTACGACACACGTCTTACAACAGCAGTCAAATAAGATGGAATCTTGTATGGAAGAGTGCATATCTTTTGGCTACCCTAAGAGAACTAGGGAGGATTTCTTCTTTAGTCTTAAGGACAAGATAATCTAAGTGAGCACTCACATGATTTTCTTAAAGGAGGACTAGATGAGAAATCATAAGCTCTTAAGTTAGGTTATTCTTGATGAGATTTATCTCAACTCAAGAATTTCCAGAATCTCTATAAGCTTCATCCACTGTTCCCTTGATTGTTCAAGAGGGGATAGATATATCTCTAAGTGAACAAACAAGAGAACCATGATTGGAAATTCAACATGAAATATTAGTATCACATGTAAAGGAACAATATCAAGGATAAACAGATCCTCAAGAAATTGAAGATTCATCATTTGACCCACTCTTTGTTTTACCTATAAATACACAAGGTCTAGTGTAGTACATTCGTAGTGGGAGAGAACCTTGTTAACTCTCATGTTGTCTCTTGTTGAGTGACATTGATCCTACTAGTTATGATAATGCACTAGAAGATGTTGTTGATCAAGTGTTGCTCGAGCTATGAACAATGAGATGAAAAACTTGTATTTCAACTCCGTTTGGTCCTAGTAAAGACACTAAGAGGGGTAAAACCCATAAGGTGCATGTGGACATAAAAGGCAAAGAGAGGATGGACAGGAAGGGGAAAACCTTCAAAGCTAGCTTGGAGGTAATTTTTGCCAGACGCCATGCTTGAGTCTATCCAGATTCTCTTAGTTGCTATAAGTCTCAATTATGAGATTTCATTTTGGGAGTTGGATGTTAGGATATCTACATACAACAACCAAAAGGGTTTATAGCAAATGGGTAGGAACACACGGTATGCAAGTTGTGAAAGTCTATTTCATAGACTTAAGCAAGCATTCAGGTCTTGAAACATCAGTTTTGATCAGGTTATCAAAATTTTGATTTTGAGAGAACCTTGATGAATGATGTGTATTTGTATGTAAAGGATCCAACGGTAGACAATAGTTTTTCTGGTACTTTATGTAGATGATATGCTCCTTATTGGAAACAATGTGGAGGTAATATCAAGCATAAAGCGTTGGCTAAGTTAGTGTTTTGGTATGGAAGTACTGGGGAAGCCAAATATATTCTTGGTATAAAACTCTTATGAGGCCGGAAGAATAAGTTGTTGGCATCACCTCAGGCTACTTAACTTGACAAAACTCTTGCCAAAATTCAACATGAGAATTCTAAGAGAAGAATTATAATTCTCAGATGTGGAATTCATCTTCCTAAGGAGTAACCAAAGACTTCTAAGAAGGAAGAATGCATGAGCAGGATATCTTATGCTTTGGCAAAGGTAGACTCATGCATATCATGTTGGGCGTTAAACCAGACATCTGTCACGCAGTGGGAGTAGTGAGATAGTACCATTTTGAACCTAGAGGAATACTAGATTATTGTTAAGCATGTGCTTAAGTATCTTTGGAGAACGAGAGATTATATACTGGTATATTCTAGTGGGAGTCTTGAAAAGTTGAGTTTTCAAAAATTCAGTTATTTCAAGTGTATATTAACTCAAGAAAATCAACCTCGAGCTATGAGTTTTTCACTAAACTCAGATAGCATTAGAGGTGGATCTTGCAGACTCAGTTACTAAGAGTTTGCCTGAACTTGTGTTCGATAGGCTTGTTACTTCTTTGGGTCTTAGGAGGATCCCAGACTTGCATTAAGCAAGTGGGAGTTATTGGTTTCATTGTGCTCTTGGAGTAAGACGATGAAACAATAAAATAATTTTCTGAATTTCATAAATAAGGTTTTATTTATTTATTTTGCACACTATTTACAAACATAAAGGTCCGGATCAAATTGTGGAGTATATGATCATATGGATCCGTTCATGGAGGACATGATCATAGGTTCTCACAATTGATGAATGGAGTCACAGCCGTTAAATAAAGTTGGGCACTTTATTCAGGCTGTAATATTTTATGAAATGATTTTGTCCGAATCATTGTAAAATATTGGTGTGAATTAACATTCACATTGAAAGGATCAAGGAGAGATTTGATTAAAGTTTCTTTTCTGTCATAAGGTATCAAATCTCCAGTTAACTATAGTTATGTGATTGCTCTTAATCCTGAGTTTATTATAAATAGGTAATCAAATAGTTTTCATTCTTTGATTTACCAACGGGTGAGGTTCGATCTATTGACGACCAATAACTCGGTATTTTGGGAGTGAGATTATTTGATTATCGGTATTTATGAGATAAACAACATGGAATTTGTAGGATATGTCCCCTTGATATGTTTCGGTACTTGGATATTAAAGACACTGGCTAGTGCATGCAATCCATTAGAGAAACTATCATAGTCAAGGGAATAAATAATTGATTGAGTTACAGAAAATTTGTCAATCAATTATAGACATTCTACAGAGGGGCGATGCATATTCATGTTATAAAGGTCATTAATCTTGGAGTTCACGTTCGGGCTTTTAGTGGAGTAGCGCCGAATTAGATAATCTTTCAAAGATTATCAGGAGCCTTGATGAGTGACAAATGGTAGATCCCCAGGCTAGCTCGAGACAAGGGATGGGTTGTATAATCAGATGATGATGGCTTATGTGCTACATAGTCTTGGGTTTATGAACTCAAGTTTTGTGTCCAAAAGAGCAAGTAGGAGATTGTTGGGTTTAGTATGCTCTTTTCACTAAAGCCCAATAGCTTTAGTGAGAGTGAGCCCAAAGTCCAATTATAACCCATGAAGCTTAGGGTTAGTTTTGGATCGTGCAGGGTATATAATCTCTCTTTTCTCTTAATGCCTCCTAGGGTTACAGACATCAGAAACACACCTAAGAGGCAGACGTTCATCATCTGAACGGTTGCCCACACGACCACCTGATCCCCTTGAGTCATAGCCTGGAAGATCAACCGTAGAGCGGAATTGCGACCGTTCGTGGTGCGTTGCTGCAGATCGTGAGGCTTGAGGAGGAGAACAGAACGTGAGAAATTGTCACGCTCGCTGCTTCATCTCAGGTAATCAAAGCAGTGTTCTTTATTCCTCATCACATCGGTACGATGCGCTTTCGCGTTTCTGATGATATACCTTCATGATCAATTGGGTAATTAAAGATAAATATTAATCATTATTACAAGGTGAGGATCAGAAAGGTGTTGGCGTCCTTTACTGCAATAGCTTTCTTACAATATTTTCTCAAATCTCAACCCCTTTTTCTTTAAGTTTTCAACTTCTCTTGAATTGTTCATAAATTATTGAATAACTCACAATTGTTACAAACACCATTACTTTCAAATCAACTCTTGTTCTTCCATTCATAAAAGAAACAATTAATTGATATTCGACCCAATCCCTGTGGAGACGATACTTTTCTTATCATTTTATTACTTGGAACGATCGGTGCACTTGCCGATTTTTTGCAACAAGTTTTTGGCGCCGTTGCCGGGGATTGGCGTATCTTTTATCAATTAATATTGATTTTTAAGATTGAATTTTTATTTTATTTTTATTTATAATTTCTTTGTGTTTCTTGAATAGTGCTACTAATCTCTTTTCTGAGTTGTATGCGAGGTAAAGAGCCAGAATTTCCACTTGATTTGGAGATTACAAAAACTTAAAAGAGAAATAGGAAATTTGCTCGGAAGAAACTTGAATTCAACGAGTCAGAAATTCTGTCTGAAGAAACACACATCATGGCAGGGAACAATGAAGAAGACAATCCACTCATGGACACTATCCTTACGCCACTATTTAACAGGCCCAATTCAAGTATTGTCTATCCTGAAGTTGGCAACAATAATTGGGAGCTCAAGTCTGATAATATTCGACTAATAGAGAGAGCTCAGTTTGGTGGAGAGGTTGATGAAGACCCTCATAGGTTCATAAACAGATTCCTGATGATCTGTGATTCGACCAAGCATCCTCAATTGTCCAATGATGCAATCCGGTTAAGGCTGTTCCCTTTTGCTCTTAAAGGAAAAGCTTTGAATTGGTTGGAGAGGCAGCCTGCGAGAAGTATTCCCTCATGGGAAAATTTATCAAATAAGTTCTTTGCGGAGTTCTTCTCGATGGAAAGATACAATCAAATGGTGAATGATATCACCAATTTCACTCAAGCTGAGGGTGAAATTATGTGTGCAGCCTGGAACCGGTTCAAAGATCTAATGAGGAGGTGTCCTCATTACCCCATGACCAATGGTGATCAGGTCCGGATCTTCTTCAACGGTTGTAAACTAGAAATCCGGATGGTTCTGAATGGTGCAGCAGGTGGTAGCATTAAGTCAATGAGAGCAAATGAGACTCTTGAATTGATTGAAAGAATGGCTGCCAATGAAAATGAAGGGTTGTCATCTAAGCCTAAGAGAGGCATTCTTCACCTACACAACAGTGATTCAGCATTGGCTGAAAATAAATTGTTATCACAGCAGATGGCGAATTTGACATCAAGGCTTGATAAAATGCAGCTTTCTAGTGTCCAAGCTAAAGCTGCTTCAGTTATTTGTGAATACTGCAAGGAAAGCCATGATTCTAATGAATGTCCTACCTTACTGTCTGATGATCCTCCTCAACAGGTGCAAGTAAATGGTAATTGGTATGACCAAAGACCTTTGCCACCAAATATTCCAAGGATGATGAATTATCCTTCAGGGAACAATAACTTCCAAAGGAGGGTGCAAGTTACTGGTCTTGACTTCAAGTCCAATAACTATTTGCAGCCACCGCCAGTTCAACCGAAGGAACCTTCTGAGTTAGAGAAGCTAGTGGGACAAATGGCCCAACATTCCAATGCTTTTATGGAAGAGACTCGAGCAAACACTAGAAACACACAAGCTTCCATCAGAAATTTGGAGAGTCAGATAGGCCAGTTGTCTAGGCAGTTGGCTGAAAGGTCTCAAGGACAGTTCCCAAGTGATACAATGGTGAACCAAAGGAGGAATGCAAGTCCATTGTGACAAAGAGTGGAATTGTGATCACTCCTCAAGAAAAGCCGAAATTGGTTCAGCCAAAGAAAGTTGATGAGCCAACACCTGAGCTGGAGCATGAAAAAGAAGAACCTGCAAGGCAAGACAAAGAAGAAGCAAAGGAGAAAGCTGTGGAAGCTCCAAAGAAACTGATGGATTATTCTCGTTTTGAGAAACCTCCTTATCCCATGAAGCTCAAACAACAGGCACATAATCAACAATATGCCAGGTGCTTAGAAATGTTTAAAAGCTGCAAATTAATATTCCTTTTGCTGAGTCTTTAGCTAACATGCCTAATTATGCTAAATTCATGAAAGATTTATTGTCTAGAAAGCATAAGTTGCAGGATTGCGAGACAGTAGCACTTACTGAAGAGTGCAGTGCCATCATACAGAAGAAGTTCCCACCAAAGCTTCAAGATCCTGGGAGTTTCAACATCCCAATTGCGGTAGGTAACACTAATGTTGGCCGGGCACTATGTGATCTTGGAGCAAGCATCAACTTGATGCCATTGTCAATATGCAAGTCATTGGGAATTACTGAGTTGAAGCCAACCATGGTCTTTCTTCAGCTTGCTGACCGTTCTTTGAGGAGACCTAATGGAATCATAGAAGATGTTCTTGTTAAAGTTGACAAGTTCATCTTCCCAGCTGATTTCATCGTGCTAGACATGGAGGAAGAGGGTGAAATGCCCCTTCTGTTGGGTAGACCGTTCTTGGCCACAGCTCGAGCTATGATTGATGTAGAACAAGGAAAGCTCGAGTTGAGGATGAATGATGAGAAAATCATTATCAATGTTTTCGATGCCATGAAGAACTCATCTGACCACAGTGATTGCTTCAGACTTGATGTGGTTGAGGAAGCAGTCAAAGAGGTGGTTATGGAAGAGAAAAGTGAGCTTCAAAAGCTTGAAGAAGAGTTGAAGGCTCTAGATGAAGCTGCTCCAGAAGAAGAGCGAGCAACTGTCTTTGAGGTACTAGAAAAGAAAGAAGATGACTCAGCTACATTAGTACCAAAGGTGGAATTAAAAGAGTTGCCTGAAACTCTTAAGTATGCTTTCTTTGGAGACGAAGAACAATATCCTGCTATCATCAATAAGGAAGTCCATCAGCAGCATAAAGAAAGTAAGCCAAAGGCTAAGATGGAAAAGCCCAAGAGTAAATAAAAGCATGTGAAGACTAAGTTCAAAGTTCCTGAGAACCCTCATCCTTATCCACATGCATATGATCATAAAAGGAAACAATACTGGATCAAGAAGATTAGGTCATCAATGGTAGCATGCTTCCAACCACCATAAATCAAAAGAGGTACGTCAGGCTCGTGACGTTAAACAAGCGCTTGTTGGGAGGCAACCCAAGAGTATTGAGTCTTTTATTTTATCTTTTGTTATTTGTTATTTTGATTATGTTTTTACATTTCCATTTTGTGTTGCCACAATTGAGATATTATGATGTTTAGTTTCCTCCCCATTATGATGAATTGAAGCTTTAACCCGTGTGAGTGTGTACATGCGCATAAATTCTTATTCGTCCACTAGTTTAGTTTTATTGCTGGGGACAACAATTTTCTAAATCTGGGAATTGGCTCCCCACATGTGGCACAGAGGAACCAGACTGAAACACCTCTAACAGAATGTTTTCTGAATCATCAAGGGAGATATCTGAACCCTTTTGTTTCAATTTGCTGTTTTTATTTTGTTTTTGTTTTGTGTGATAAAAGAAGAAGCTCTTTGAATAACATGCGCTCTCTGAATAACATGCCTGAATTTGCATTTGCTACTCATGCAATAAGATGATTAAATCTTAGAGAGCATATAAGATACTGTGTGAGAAGTCATAATGGATAAATGTTTTGAGAAATGCATTGAAGTATAAGAGTTGTTATTGCTCGTTTGATTGAATTCTTTGTTGAGAGTTACAGTTGATATGTGATGATAATGGAATTTAGATTCTAGTTTGATTGCACAGCCGTGAGGTTTGAGCCTATACAGTAATTTTTTTTAGAGAGGCCTCACTGTGATAATACTCTAGAACTTAATCTGTTTCTCTGTAATGCATGCATGATCTGAAATGATAAAGGCAATTCTTTCTTGATAACTCATTGGCCAAATAGCTGAACTGAAAATTATTATTCCATTGCTAGCCCCTTTGAGCTTTAGCCTGTTGTTTCTTGTTGAATTTAACCTTAAGAATCGTAGCTTATTTTCCTGTCCACACACCTTTGATGAGATTGAAGCACTGATTATAGATATTCAAGGAAAATTTCACCGAAATAAAGTGATAGTGAAAGCAAAAGCTGAGACCAAAGTGAAAAGAAACAAAATGAAAAGTTGCAAAGCAACAGCAAAACATGAAAAGGTTAAGAAGAAAGAGGAAAAGGATGAATAGAAAGGAAAAGACTAAGTAAAATTGTGTCTGAGTATGAACAACTGAAAATAAATAGTTGTGTTTCAATCTCATATACAGTAAAAAGTAGCCACTTTCCCAAATATTCCTACCTTAGCCTAAGCCAAGTTACAACCCTGCAAAGACCTTTGGATCTAATTGTGCATGTTTTACATGTTCCTTATCTTTAGGAACTTGAGAATAGGATCAAGCTTATGGTAGTCTTATTGCACTGATGGATTGAGAGTTAAATCCAATACACAAGAGTGACAAGTGCAGTGATTATCCTGGTAAGAAGTGATCAAACTAGATTCTAATTCCTTATACCAAAAGTGATTTCTGAAATTCTCAACCTGGAATTCATTCATGCATAGCATTATAACTCTGAATCTCTTCAATATAGAAAACTGCATTAGTGACATAAATTCTTCTCACAGAGTTAATCATTGCTGCCTGATGTTTGATCTTATTTATTGCTGGGGACATCAACATCTAAATCTGGGAATTGTTTGATATGCGTCTAACATATGGTGATTTCTAAGTAAAAGAAGCAAGGAATTAATCATAAATGTGTGAAAATAAGCTCATAAATGCAAGAAATATTGATTATTCCTTCTCAATCATTCTCTTGCTCAATTTATGCATTTTGATAGCAGGAAACACCAAAAAGAAGTGAAAGAGAGAAGTTGAAATTGCATAGTCTTGCGCAAAACGCATGAAAATGGCGCGATCCGCGTGATTTTGGCAAATTACTTTCTGTTTGTACGCGCGATCCGCGCGAATTTGGCACTGATCGCGCGGGCGTCATGAATGCATTCCTTGATTTGTGGAGTTTGATGAAAATGGAAATTTAATCAAATTAATGAGAGGATTATGACCTGATTGATTGGTGGAATTATGATGAAAATGTAAATTTAATCAAATTAATGAGAGGATTATGACCTGATTGATTGGTGGAATTATGAGGAAAATGGAAATTTAATCAGAATTAATTCAAGGATTATGACCTGATTGAGTAGCTGGCTATATAAAGGAAGCAGAAACTCTAAAAGAGGATCATCTTTTGGCAAGGAGAAATTGGAGAGGAAGCTCTCAGTGACTGAAGATTCAAGACTTCTTCTTCTTCTGGTTTTACATTTTCATGAACTATTTCTCATTATTTAAATTGTCAGACATGAATATGTCTGGCTAGTTTTTTTATTGTGGTAAGGGTCACAACCCTTGATGTGAACCCCTTGTATTTTGGTTAAGTTTATGGTTAATTATTCAATTGAATTTATTTTACTCTGTTCTTCATCCCATAATTCTTTTAGAATTCGCGACTATATTAGGATTGCGAGGGTTAGGGTTCGCAATAGGGATATTGGGATTCTAATTCCTGACAAAGGGTAAGATAACTGTTCATGTATGCACTAGGAATAGGCTATATGAACTGCAAATGTGAAAATTCACTAGGCTTAAAGATTAACTTGAAAAGGGATTTCTAAGGGATTAGGATTCCAATAGGGTTAATAAGGTTAAGATGACTAAGGGATTAGGGCTTAACTAATTAATTATAGATGGTAAATTGTTTGATCAATTGGGTAATTAAACATAAATATTAATCATTATTACAAGGTGGGGATCGGAAAGGTGTTGGCGTCCTTTACTGCAATAGTTTTCTTACAATATTTTCTCAAATCTCAACCCCTTTTTCTTTAAGTTTTCAACTTCTCTTGAATTGTTCATAAATTATTGAATAACCCACAATTGTTACAAACACCATTACTTTCAAATCAACTCTTGTTCTTCCATTCTTAAAAGGAACAATTAATTGATATTCGACCCAATCCCTGTTGAGACGGTACTTTTCTTATCACTTTATTACTTGGAACGAACTGTGCACTTGCCGATTTTTCGCAACACTTCATATCCAAATGAACATTGTATTCCTCCTTTATGTGCTCAAATGCTTCTGTCCTGGTCATCTTGGTCTGTGTCAGTATTGTCTTCTCCAATTTCTTGGCAACCCAATCTCGTGTAGCCCTTTTATTCTTGAAGACTCTACAACATGTATGAGTGTCGTTAAAAGTCTTAACTTGGAATGTGCTTTGCTTGGTGTTCCAGGCACAATACACCATCCATTCACAGTCTTCTACACTGCATTTGGCCCTTACTATGACCTTGTCATTCTTAACCCAGATGAAGTTCCTCCCAAGACTGATATTATAATCTTTTACTGCACAATTAAATTGGTCCAGATTCATAATACCAAGTTCTAAATATACATGCCCAAAAGAAGCTTGTTCATTAAACTTAGGCAAAACAGGTCTAGCATTCTCATCATCATCACTTGAAGGAGGAGTCCTTAACTCCTCAGACAGATAGGTATATCCTTCTTCCTCGAATGACATTATGTCTTCCTCTTCATCAACTTCTTCAGATTCAGAGTCTTGAATTAGGGCATTCTTCTTGACTGCCTTCCTCCTTGGGGTTTGTTTTGCAGGCCTTTTTTTCTCTACAAATGGCACATTGACCTCATCATCATCCTCTGAATCATCCTCAACACCAGGTGGGGGAGGCTTGTAAACCTCATCCTCTGCACTCTCATATGAATCTGAGTGTGAGGAAGCATGGTCATCATCTGCACTATCATCTTCAGAACCATTACCAACATCCTCTGCACTTTCTTCATCATGGTCCGAATTGATCCCATCGTCATGTAAATTCAAGCCATCAGCAGCCTGTGATTGTCTTCATTTTCTTTGATCCCATCATCATGTAAATTTAGGTCATCAGCAGCCTGTGCATGGTCTTCATTTTCTTTGACCCCATCATCACCTTGTGCACACCCTTCATGTGAATTGACCCCATCATCAACCTCTTCATGGTCCTCTTTATGTGCTGAATTAATGACATTATCCTCTTCACTGTCATGTTGAGGTGAAGCAAACTCGGGAATTGAGATGCAGTCCTCAAAGTAGACATGTATCTCATTGCCATTCCCTAAAGCAGCCTCACACATGGCACACACATCTGAATCTGTACTAAGAGGTCTGAGCCCTTGTTCCAAATCGGGTACCCCAGGCTGTAGCCACATCATCCTCTTGAATTTTCCATACCCATATTGCTTAAACAGGGTGTCAAGGTCACAGATATTGCAGTAGTCAATGTCCATCTCTGGCAATGAGTCCACCCTTCCATTTATATAGGTCATCACTCCATCTTCATCTCTGACTAAAATACCACCATGATGATAAACAATTACTATGTATTCGGACATCTGTCAAAACCAAAAAAACAAACCTATCATTAATCCCACGGTCACAGACTGTAGACCACTTAAACAATACAAAGCAATACCCTAAACTAACATTTTCTATGGATGCTGACTTTTTTCCATATATTACCATGGGGTTTTTAGTTGACACTGGGTCAACCATGGCCCCTTCTTCTAAAACAGGGACCACACCACCCGGTAGTTACAATCTCTAACACAAAACCCTAAATGGAAACATGGACCACAATGTCCACTTCGCATGCAGAAAAAAACAACATTAAACAAAGGGGAACAACATGGGGACCACAAGCAAAAGGATGACAAAGAACAATATAAAAATGTTTCAACATATAAATACTCTTACCTTTTTGTACGGAAGGCTCAGCCTAACAGAAAAACCCAAGTTCTCTTTGTCTTCCACTGGTTCCCTCCGGTTGTTGAAGAAGTTCGTAGTATTCCAAATGCAGGCGAGTGTTTACTCCATAGTCTTCTTCCTTCCTTCTCAACAATGGAGCGTCGAAGTTAGAAGAGAGGGAAATGGTAAAGTGTCCAACGGTTAGGAGAGGGGCAATTTTGGGTTTAATAAAAAATGGTCTGTCCAAGGTGTATGAGACTCTCAAAACGACGTCGTTCCTCAACCCACGTGGCCTCCAGCATGTCACTTAACGTTACACATCATCACCGTCATTGACACCGTCAGTTTTGGATTGACAGAAGGACTAACGTGGGTCCTGTTTCACTTTGTTGGGGACTATTTAATGAGTTTATTTTTGTGAGGGACTAATTTGGGCACCGAGTTTTTTGTCAGGGGCCAATTTGGGTCTTTACTCTAATATCAATAGAGAGGTTTCTTCTCTTTGGTTCTTATCTAGAACTTTGAACTTATTAAGAAGCTTCTTCTTGTGGCGTTCAAACCAGACTTATCACTCACCTTCTTCTTTCTTGAGTGTGGCATCTTTATTTTTCTTTATACATTTGGTTCTTATCTTCTATAGATAACGGGTCAATGTTCTTTATTTTTTGTTTAAATTCCTGATTATAGAAACGATCATAACGAAATTGGTCTTAGGTCTCATTATTCTTGGCGAGGTTCACATCATGTAATGATTAATGGTGAAACTTAATCTGTTCGGGTAAAGGAATAACGTGCTGAAAGGAAAATGAATGATTTTCATTCATAGATCGTACATAAATCCTATATTGCTGTTAAAATATGAACACCTATCTTTATTTAATTATGTAAATAATAGGTATGTGATGGGTTTAATGCTTCAGAATCCATGTTATCCATTTGGATTCATGCTTCAGAATTCGAGGGTTCCTTGAAAGAGTTCTTTCTTGCTGTTGCTAAAACGGTCTTGTCAGCTGCTATGAAAAATGCTGCTCCGGTCACTGCAATCAAACAATAGTAGTTAGATTACAACAGCTAAGAATGATGTTAATAATTATGAAGAGATCCTAATCGCTGTCAAGTTTATAAAATCGCAATTCATATTGTGAATCGTCAAGTTATTTTTTAATTAAGAATCGTATTATATAGTAAAATTCAGAGACATTATAAAAAAAAACTTAAAATATATAATAAAAATGATGCGTAATGTGCAATTTAACAATTTTAAATTAAGAATTAGAAATTGTAAAAATAACTTACTGTAAGTCTCAATAAACAAAATCATATATCATAACTGAATTACATACATTAACAGCATGGAGTTTATGTTTTTTTTTTTTTTTATACATATGGAATTCATGTTTTAAAAGAACCAAACCACAACAATGTATATTTAAATAAAATGTATGGATAAAAAAAAAACTATTTCAATAGAATGAAAACATAGCAATGCAATAGCCAAATAAGATGTATAGTGTGAGTTAGTGTGTGAAGCATGTAAATCAAGAGAATGAAAAATAATCAAATAGGGTGCATGACGCCATTCATGTTTCTTTAGTTAATTTTGATTTAATAATTTATACTCATTTGACTTTTTAATATCTTTTATGAGAATTGATAAAAGAAAAAAAAATGAACGAACTGTTGAATCGTGTGAGTTGTATTTGTGTTACGAAATCACATTGATATCTACACCTATCGTGTGATTTAAAATCATCTCCAATTTATCACATAATACGAATTTCTGGCTTGACAAATCGCATCGGATCGTAATAACTATGATGGCAACAGCTACGAGTATATTCAAACCTGTGGAAACTATAAGAGCTTGAGCAGTGTGATTTAGATTGGCTCTTGCCCAAGGCATCATCCTCACACTAGCCAGCTGCACATCAAGCATAATTCGGATAAGATATTTACCAAAAATCTTAGTGGAATAGTAAAACAGTTTTTTTAAATATAAACTGAACTTAAAGGGAGAAGAAGTTTTTGGCAAAAGTTTTTTTAAATACTTACTGTTGGAATAGCGCTGGCAACACTGGCAACAACAGCTGCCTTAGCTCCAGCTAACACACCCTCTGTTTACACACGAAATGAGAAAAGCAAAACAAAGATCATATAAATAATTTTCTCATGTTGGGAAATTTGCAAAAGTTCTCATCAATTATCATCATTTTGACCCACCTGGTTTGCTGTCCATAACATAACAGAACTAGCCAAAATATCAGTCAATTAATAAAAAGAAAAAGCCGCTATTGGGGGAAAAATGATTAACAGTAGAATTTAGAGAAATAATGTGAAGAAGATTTTGGGACCATGAGCTTGGTCCCCTCCCACCAAAGCAAAAAGCGGGTCTCTCATTTACACATTTTGGGAACTGTCAAAGAAACAAAAAATTATTCCTGATTCCATAATTAAGGTCACCATACAGATTTTCTGAACACAATATTATGCTTAAACATTATGATATTTCCCCATAGCAATTATTTCAAGATCACAACATAGTTAAAAAAAAAAAAAAAAAGTTTATCACAACATTTGCTGGATACAATCTTCATGTTTTTTAGCAAGTAAATAGAAGTATGACCCAAGGAAAGATAAGATAAAAAGAAGGGACAAGAGATAATAGAAATAGAAGTAAAAATAAAATAAAATAAAATCTGAGGGAATGGTTATCATTTACCCTGAGAACAGCGCTTGGCAAAGGCCAATTTTTGATCCAGTGAAATTAAGCTAGGCCTCTCAAGGGGAGAGTTAGCAGCAACATTTCCCTTGGCCATATTCAAAGAATTAATTGAGCAAAAAATGATAATGGTTATGGTAAATAGTGAACTAATTGGAATAGCTTTGAATGAAGACGGGATTGAAGTTACTGGGATATTTATAGGAGTGGGTGAGAAAATAAATCACTTTAGTTAACTCAATATTTCGGGTTTGGGGTTAGAATTTGATGGTTTCATCGGAATCCATCGTCTCTAGAACCTTGTTTTAACTTGGGTTTCTATTACTTTCAGTTGACTCTTATGCTTTGTTTCCAAAATACCCTTAGGCTAAGGGCTGTTAAAAGATTAGATTTCTGTTAATTGGACAAATTTCTGTGCCTTTTACCTGGCTGGTTGGTTATCGTAGTTTCAGCATGATCCTGTCACGCTGTAAGAAACAATGACCACGGTTATGTATAAACGTTATCAATTCGATAAGTTCTTTCAATTATTTTATTCGCGGTCCTGTGCCTCTTTGTATACTGCATTGGCTAAAGTAGCTCCATCTTTTCTTCAAGGGCCACTCCTAGTTGTTTAGCCTAAGACGATATAAAACCATAGGTTGGTGATCCCTGCAACGTTGCTCGACCCAACAATGAAAAATTTAAAAAATTAAAAATATAATGTTAGTGTGGGAATCAATACCATGCGACGGTTTTCGTAAAAGGAGGTTTAGGCCATGGTTTTTCGCCGAACAGGGTGCCCCACTTCGCATACGTAAGCACAAAAAATAGTAATTACTAAATAATGGTAACTTAGTTGACGTTGCGGGACTTAGCATATGAGGTGAGAGCATATGTTTGATCCTCTCTAGTACCATCTTTGGAAGAAATTTAAAGTCTTAATCCTGAGACCTACCCCGAATAAAACTATTCGCAAAAAACGATGAATCGATTGGAATATCTCCAAATAAAAAATAAATAAAATAAAATAATTGTTGTTTGTTATAAAATAAAGGGAGAAATGGAAGAGAGAAGACAACAAGAAATAGGGCAGAAATCTAATTCTCATTCAGCTATTTGAACCAATATAAACAATGTCAATATATAAGATTACAACCATGAATAAGGGAGTAACGATCCATTAGTGCGGTAGTTACATAATCATGAATGAGAGATAATTACACCGTTACTGCCAACGGTAACGTCATCCATAATTGTACCGTTACTACCAAAGGTAACATAATTTGGGGGATATATATATATATATATATATATATATATATATATATATATAAATAAATGATAATCTATAGGGGAAATAACAAATCCTCAGGGGGTTGAGCCCTGATCCCTAAAACCTGTATGAGCCGATACCCTCTGTAGATGAGTCAACTTATAAATGAATTATGGAATGGAACCAACTCATTGATGAGAGGGAAGGTCTTAATAACAAATTCATAAGAGGAAGATCCAGGGTAAGGCCAGGGATTCGTATTTCTTGTGTACCGTACAATCCGCTTCGAACCTAGAAGGCTGGACCGAAACATTCACTGGTTCAACAAGCTCAATAGCCCCCAGCTTGTTCGTTTTACTCACCGTCAGCCTTACTACTCACTACTACTTATTTTATTTGATTACCAGTTTTCCTTGATCAGAGAAATACGCCCGTCCCCTATCTTTAATGCCTGACCCGCTCTTTTTACCATGACATTGAGATTTGTCTCTCTTCAATGCGATTCGATCCGAACCTTGATTGACATGCTGCAATTCTATCTTGAGTCACGCTATTTGGCACTTAGGCATTCTCTTTTTATCTGCCTTTACGAACGAGCCATATCATTTGTTTGTTCTCTAGTGGGTGCCTCTTCTTCCTCTCTCCCACTGCTACCCGATCAGATGCACCTCTTATTCTTTTACTGGAGATGGAACTGTTGGATCATTCACTGGGGGTCTCAATCCATTGATATAGTGGTTATGGATTTGCTTGCCCCTGGTCCAGATCTGCTGCTTTCTCTATTGCCCCTTTGCGTCTCTTGCCCCTACCTCTATGGTCCACGCCACTGAAACTGGGTGTCCCACTTATGGATAGTGCAGTTCCTCTTGGTGGGCTTCCTCCGTTGAAGTTCCGTGTACCGTACTTTCTTATCATTGAGGGGCAGAAGCAAGAACTTAGTTCTATTTGCTGGGCATAGTTTTCAGTGTACCGTACTTTAGCGCAAGGAGTAGGCAGAGGAAGCAACAAGAGCTCATTTAGCCGCACGTGAAGGAGCTCAACACTTTACCGAAGAAGCTACGATTGAGTGCGCTAGCGCTAGCCGTAGCTTCTTCCGCTTCTCCCTGCGGCCAAAAAGGAAATTCCAGGTATAGAAACAGTGTTATTACAGGATTATGGGATTAGGGGAGTTGAGGAGGGATAGGAATATTATAGTTTGCATTTCCCTTAATAGAGTTTCCAAGGTAAAAAAAGGATAAAAAGATTATAGTTATTGTATTTACCCAATGATAAAGTAAATTAGGGGAGATTCCATAATATGGGAGTCAGGGAGGAGAAAGACAAAGACAAAGGACATGACGCTCTTGTTTAATTACTTACAGAAACTTTTTTAAAAGGGTTTAATCCGCTTGTGGGATTAGGCGACCCTTATATTATCATATATCATATATATATAGAGAGGAAGGTAAGCTCGCTACTAATCCCGCCTTAACCTGGCCTATCGCGAAAAAAAGTCCCCGAAAATTGCTGGTTCCTTTGTCGTCGTTGGGGCTATAAATCTTACTTGCTCGTGCTTAGGAACTCAGTAAAGTGACCAATAAGTCAGCGGGCATTGAGGCAGCAGTCAATACATATAGTACAAGTGGGGACTCTTTTTCGAAACATAAGGCCCCGAAGGAAAAGAAGAGTAAGCCCAAAATCCCGAAGAAAGATGGATTTGAATCTTGTCGGAAAGCTAGAAGGGAGTCTTTTCCTGTCTGGGATCTGCAGACATCCGGATTGAAAAGGAGTTGGTAGGGTGAGGTGAAAGAGTCTTGGCTGAAGAAAGCGGTGAGAGAGGGGGAAAAGGACAAGAAGGTAAGCATCCAGCTCTCAATCCATCTTCACTATCTTCCCTTCAAGCAAGGCTGACTTCATTGAATACTGAAAAGCAGAGTTGAATTGGCACTTAATAGCCTGTAGCAGAGTTGAATTTTTGTATCCCCTTCCCTCTAGGCTAACTGAACTGAACTAGTCGAATTCCCTTTTTCTGACCCTGCTGAGACTAGGTTCAACTCCCTTTCTTACTCTATCTATGGAATCTTTCCCATCGCTAAATGCGTACTTACTGACAGACTTTCATTCATTGTTTACTGCTTACTAAGCTTACTTCATGCTTTTCCTGCCAGAAAACAAGACGGTGGGCGAAGGTATCAACCCATTTGAGATAGTTTCAAAGGCCTTTGGTACTTCTTTCAATCCCACCGGTCTTCTTATTCAAGTAGTTAACATTTTTCTTCGGTAAGCATTCCTTAAGGATTCTAATCGTTCCAATCTGTCTTAGCTTTCAATTCGTTGTATCGTTGGAAGTCTTATGAAGCGAGGGGATAGGCTTCTTTATAGGGGGACCATTTCCCTATTGCTTTTTTGATTGACTTTCTAACTGGTATTGTCCTCAAGGTTTAAAAAGGAAGGACTCTTGTATTGCGTTCATCGCTCTCAATACTTTCGTTAAATAAGAGTACACTTCTAGAATCCATGTGGTATGGAGAAAGCACGCATTAAAGACGAGTCCTATTCGTCCAACAGTTTCACCAGCCATATCTACACATAAAGAGAGCTAGTTTCCCACCTAAGTGAACCCGAAGCTATAGCACAAGTAGAGACAATGGATTCTGGTGACCAAGAAGCAGGAGCGGGTAGTTGATTCCTAGCCCTTGACTCATGGTAGAGAACACCAAAGGGTACTGCTCAGGCCTTCGATCTAAAGCTAACTAAGAGCCAAAGATCTCTTTCCTCTGGGAACTATTAGCCAAATGTCTAGGCGTAGTTCTCAACTCCTCAACTATCTGCTTCTTTCTCGATCGGAACTGGCAACAGATCTAGCAAAGTATTTTACTGCACCTGATGCAAAAGAAGAGGGAGTTCGAACCAATAGCTGGAGTTGCAGGATCGGAGTTTAAGCGAGACTAATAAGATAAGGAGCGGGGACAATTTGACCAGTTCTAGTTGCAGAAACATCTAACTTCGACTAGCAGTCAAGGGGGACTTGCTTGACAAAAGGGGTTGGATTCTTAGAGCTTATAGCTGAGCTAACCAGAAAAGTTTGGGACTTAGCTCGGCGTTAGGGCCTAAGGCACTCGACAAAGACGGATAGGAAACAAAGTCACTCGAGTCAAAGTGAGTGGTTCAGAGATGTCTGCTGCAACCTTGATTTGATAGTAGGGTAAAGCTCTCAGCTAGATTCAGAAAGTTTGGCACTTAGATCGACTACCGCACCGGGATAGAAGGGCATACCTCGAAAATTCTTTCATCACAAGAAAGTCATGTTAGGAAAGAATGTAGCTCAGTCAAGAGATTCGGGTTAGGTGGAAATGGCATATCCAGGGCACGGCGCAGAGGATGTTCTGTTATTGTCAAAAGAAGATAGGAACGAGGTGACATTGGAGTGAAAGAAAGTGATGGGACATAAATTTGTTCCTATCTAAGCCCATTTTGATGGAAAAATACCATACGTTCCCTAATTTGATGAGCAACTTCAGCATGAAAATCACTTGTTTTTCACATTTGTGACAAAAACACAGTGGGGGAACAGATGGTAACGTATTCCTTTAAAATATATTAAAAGGGGAACAAACTGAGACACATTTAATGCACCTGCTCCATTCATTTAATGCTTCTGCACACTTTACAGGTAACGTAGAGTTTAAGACTTCTAAAAAGCAAGGCGGTGCACCAACTGAGCAGCTGGAAACGTGAAGAGCATGGAATCAAGAGTTCTCATTGGCTGAAAACAGAAGCAAAACATGGGAAGGCCTGCAAACAATGGCTAATCATCACCAAACCCTGTTCCATTCAGTAATTCACGCAAGCTTCAGACTCTG